GGCGCTTGCCTTGCATGCATGAGGCCCTGGGTTCGATTCCTCAGCACCACATAAGCAAAAAAGAAAAAAAGCTGGAAGTGGCGCTGTGTCTCAAGTGGTAGAGCGCTAGCCTTGAGCTGAAGAGCTGAGGGACAGTGCCCAGGCCCAGAGTTCAGGCCCCACGACTGGACCCAAAAAATAAAAAAATAATAAAATAAAATAAAATAGTGGACTCTACACCAAAAGATTGTCTTAAATGGAGTATTAAACCTCTGATATTGCTTATCATCCTGAAATGGTCACTCTCTTTCTGATTCCACTACAATGTCCACCATCTCATAATCCACCCCACCACCTACAAAACACAGGGCTCTTCCATGCTCTGTGTGGGCTCCCTGGGCTCTGCTGTCATTAGGATAGAAGTAAAGGAAAGCTACCGTCTTACCTGTGGGGACAGCCCAGGAATGGGACAGCAGCCACAGAAACTGTAGCAGCTGCAGCAGCACAGCTCCTTGGTTCTGCTCATGATCCATATCTTCTCTATACTTCAGGGTAGGTAGGAACTACCAGCTCCTCTGTCTGGGGGCCCTAGAGCCCTCCCCTTGTTTCTCCTCAGCTCATTTCCAATAGTTGTCCTTGTCATTGTGGCTAAACCAATCACAGAGGTATAAAGTTCAACATCATCAGTCACTAGGGAGAGACCTAGAGCCAGCAACCTCCAGAAGCTATCTCTAATAACCAGCAGGCCCAGTGGGCTGGGCCGGTGGAGGAATGTCTGCCTCCTGGTGGAACTCCCTTTCTAGCCTCCAGATGTCCGGCTCTGTACAGCAGCGCCCCCTTGTGACAGAATGTTGTGATGGGAAGTGAGTCATCCATCAGTAACACCCCCTCCACCCCACCCCACCTCCAGGGCACTTCAGACCCCACTTCCTCTTCCCTCCTAGCCTTCTCTTCATAAGAAAGGTTTACTCATTCTGTGGAAATATAATGAAAATTCACTAAGCGCTGGGAACTGGACTCAGTGGTACAAATACTAAGATGAACACTGGCGGGGTGTCATGGCTCACACCTCCTTGAGGCTGAGATCTGATGATCCAAAGCCAGCAGGGGCAGGAAAGTCTGTGAGACTCTTATCTCCAATTAACTACCAGAAAACAGGAAGTGGCGCTTGGCTCAAGTGGTAGAGCACTAGCCTTGAGCTGCAGAGCTCAGGGACAGGACCCAGGCCCAGAGTTCGAGCCCCACGCCTGACAAACAACAACAAACACAGTAGTTCACCTTATCTGAGCTCTCACTTCTCAGGGTTTCAGTTCCCTACCATCAACTTCAGTCTGAAAATAATAAATTAAAGAAGTCTAGAAATAAACAGTAAGTTCTAAATTGTGTACTGCTGTGAGTAGTGTGATGAAATATTGCACAGTTTTGCTACATTCTGCCCAGGTGAATCATCCCTTGTCCAGTGTATCTACTCTGTGCAATCAGTTACCAGATTCATTACCATTGTACTGCAGTGTTTGTGTTCCAGTAGTCTTTATGCTACCTAATAATAGCCCCTAAAGTGCAGGAGCGGGCATGGCAATTAAAATATGCTAAAGGACCAAAAGTCCTAACAAGTTCCTTTACGTAAAAAGATAAAGGTTTTGGCTTAGTAAGGAAAGGGGAAAAAAAGGGGAGGGGGTGAATACAGTACAATACAATACTTTAAGATATTGAGAGACTGTATTCAAAGCTAAGTGCTAGCAAGCTCACACCTGTAATCCCAACTACTCAAGAGGCTGAGATCTGAGAATCACAGTTCAAAGCCAGTCTGGGCAGGAAAGTCTGTGAGACTCTTATCTCCAATTAGCCACCAGAAAACTGGAAGTAAAGATATGGCTCAAAGTGGTAGCACTCTAACCTTGAGGCCCTGAATTTAAGCCCAAACCAACCGAGAGAGAGAGAGAGAGAGAGAGAGAGAGAGAGAGACTATTCACACAATGTTTTTAACAGTATATTACTGTAATTGTCCTATTTTATTATTGCTGTTGTTAATCTTTTTTTCTTTTTTGGTTGTGGGGCCCGAACTCTGGGTCTGGGCTCATCTCTTCAGCTCAAGGCTAGTGCTCTACCACTTGAGCCACAGCACCACCTGCAGCTTTTTCTGCTTATATGGTGCTAAGGAATCGAACTCAGGGCCTCATGCATGCGAGGCAAGTATTCGACCACTGAGCCATCTTCCCAGTCCTGTTGTTAATCTTTTACTGTGCTTAATTAATAAACTATCACGTTTGTATAGGAAAAGTGTGCACACATGTATGTCTACATGTGTACATATGTGTGTGTGCACACGCGTGTGTTGGAACTATCTCTGGTTTCAGGCATTATTGTGTGTTTTAGAATGTATCCCACATGGATAAGGGGGGGGTATCATTTGAATCTGGAATATCCCCCAAAGGCTCATGTGTTGAAGGCTTGGTCCCAAGCTTTTGGAGCTTTTAGAAGTTACTGAAAATCAAAGAATTAGGGTTTGGTTGGAGAAAGAGGGTCACTGGAGGAATGCTCTTAAAGAGTTTATCGGAGTGCTGGAGGTATGGCTCAAGTGGTAGAGCACCTGTATAGCGAGTTCAAATGCCAGTACCACCAAAAAGAAAAAAGAGTTTCCCAGGTTTTAGCTCAATGCTGGTGATTCATGCCTATAGTCCTAGCTAATCAGGAGGTTAAGATTTGAGAATCAAGCTTTAAAGCCAGCCTGGGAAGATAAATCCTTGAAACTATTGTCTCCAATTAGCCAGCAAAAAAGCCAGAAATTGAGGCATAGTTCAAGTAGTAGAGGGCCAAAATAAAAGAAAAAAGCCAAGTGAAAGCATGAGGCCCTGAGTTCAAGCTCCAGTACTGAAACAAAAAAATAGTGAGGAGCAGGTGGCTCACACCTGTAATCCTTGCTACTCACAAGGCTGAGATCTGAGCATCAAGGTTTGAAGCCAGCCTTGGCAGGAAAGTGTAAGACTTTTATTTCCAAATAATCACAGAAAAAGCAGGAAGTGGTGCTGTGGCTCAAGTAGTAAAGGGCTAGCCTTGAGCAACTTAGGGATAGCACCCAGGCCGAGAGTTCAAGGCCCAGGATTGGCAAAAATAATAAATACACACACACACACACAGTTTATTGGGACTTTAGCCTCCATTTTTGCCTTCTGCCTTGGATTTAATAAGGCATTTGAGTCGTGTCCTCCCTAAGCCTAGTAAGGCTTCTTTTTTTTTTATAATAAGTTTTTTATTGTGAAAATACTCTGGTAAGGCTTCTTTAACCTATCTCAGACCCACATGAGGCCTCTCATAATCACAAAAATTCAAACACAAACTCATCCAATAAATGCACAATGAAGCAAACTTTCATTGATTTTGTTCCTCTGTCTTAGGTTTTGTTCTCATGTGATAGATCAGATCTCTGTGTTTTAGAATAATAAGCAGCACTGAATTTTGCCACCCAGAACCATTATCTAATGATCAGAGGTTATCATAGGACGATATATATTTTCCCAGTTTAGAAAATATAAAGGCCACAGACAAAAAACACCATTTTGCATCATATATTCCCAGCTGGGAAGCAGCAAATACTTCCTTTCTTAGCTTTATCCTGTTACACTAAAATCCTTGATAAAACTTCAAAAACAACAACAATAACAAAAAATGCAACATGCATTGAGCGCCACAAAAAAAGAAGGAAAAAAAAGATGTGCCAAATATTTGGGAAGGAATAATTTTTAGCCTTCTGTCTTACTTTTTTTTTGTTTTTTGTTTTAGTTAGTCATGGGGCTTGAACTCATGGCCTGAGTGCTGTTCCTGAGTTCTTTTGCACAGGACTAGAGCTCTACCACTTGGAGCCACAATGCCACTTGGGAAGGAATAATTTTATGAGAATGGAGGAGTAGGTGATAATATCCAAGCAGACTCCTAACAGTCTTGAAGGAAAAACAATCTGAACAGGAGAATATGAGGGAAAAGAATACATTTCAGGGCAAGGGGTAGGAAGATGCATGAAGATCAGAGGCATCAGAGTTCCTTCCTTTGCTGAGCCTGTAACAGCTGACAGGGAAGCTGTGAAGGTTGCTGTTGGTTCCTTTGTGATAATGGAGGACAGAGAATATCATGATATTCTACCAATTCAGGCAAAAGCCAGCTCAGCCTTGGTACACCCACAAATTGTGTCTGACTTTTACTTAGCAGATATTAAAGACACTGAAAATGGGAACTGATCATTTTAGTATTTTGGAAGAACTGTTATGATATTTCAAAAAATGGATGAGCTTGTGAAGAAATGAGGCAAAACTGCCAGTCAGTACTGTATAGCAGCTCAGGCATCGCAGTACTTACCTGTAATTGCAGCTACTCAGAAGGTGGAGGTAGGGGAATTCATGGTCCAGCTCCAACTCTGGCAAAAGCATGAGACTCTACCTGAAAAATAAACAAAAGGACTTCAGGCATCACTCAAGTGGTAGAGCACTTGCTTAACAAACATGAGTAACATGAAGAAAAAACAAAACCATAGTATAATAAGATAAAACATTGCATATGTACATTATACTTTTTGTGGCAATACAGAAAAAAATTAAGAGATGAGAAGGTCCTATATTAAATTGTAATCACTACATTGTGATAATTAAGAAGTAGAATCTGAAAGCTTTGACTTCCAATTACAGAGGAGAAGAGATGAAGGAGTTGACACTTACACCCTGGCTCCTAATGTAGTAACTATGTGGGTTCTCAGTAGTGGACACATTGAAACAGAAAATAATGTCATGAAAGAAGGTTCAAAAACAAAGAGAAGGAAGGCATGGTGGTTCAAACCTGTAATTCCAGCACTCAGGAGGCTGAGGCAACATTATCACAAATTTAAGGTCAGCCTGGGATATATAATGAGTTTAAGGCAAGTCTGGATTGCATATCTATTGGGGCTGGGAAGGTGACTCAGGGGTAGAGCGCTTGCCTTGCATGCCTGAGGTCCTGGGTTCGATTCCTCAGCACCACATAAGCAAAAAGAAAAAAGCCAGAAGTGGTGCTATGGCTCAAACACCATCCAGACCAAACAAAGAGAACAAGTTTGATTTTGTAGAGGCTGATACATGGGGTATCAGTGGAAGGTGGTGAGGTACATGAAGAATCTGATCTGGGGAACCTGGAACACAAATACTGAAACATAGATCGTGGATAAAGTTACCAAAGTAACTGCAGAACGTGCAGTTGTTTAAGGATACAGGTGGACCTGTTGCAACAATGAGAAGTACAAGTTGTCATGTCCAAAACGAGCTTTACGTCGGTGGGGGGAGGGGGAAGGAGAAGGATTGGGATTGGGGGGGGAAGGGGGAGTCTGGGAAGGGATGTGAAGAGTAAACAAAGGAGGAGGCTGCAATGCTTGGTAAGAAATGTACGCATTATCCTGCCCATGTAATTGTAACCCCTCTGTACAGATGTTCACAAATAAAATAAAATAAAATTATTAAAATAAAATAAAAAAATGAACGTGCAGGGAAGGGCAGGTGCCGGGGGCTCAGGCTATAATTCTAGCTACTCAGGAGGCTGAGAGATATCTAAGGATTATGGTTCAAAGCCAGA